CACACACACACACACACACACACACACACACACACACACACACACCTCTAAACTGGATTATTTGTAGAAACAGAGTCGATATCATTTAATCAATAATGAATAAAAACGTTCAAACATGTTGCAGCTTCTCTTTGTTATTAATAATATTTCACTCTAATCACTAAAAGATGAATGAGTGATGTTTAACGTGATCATCAGATATGTTGATTGAGATCATTTATCTCTGAGTGTTTGAGGACTTTAGGAGGTGAAGGTGAGTTCCAATAACTGATAGATTGATCAGTTGATAATAGATTTGTGTTTTTCTGTATAAATACGGACTGTTAAAGTAAAGTGATCGGTTCTAGACGTTACAACAGAAACACGCATGTATAAAAAGAAGAACCATCCAGACTGTAGAGGACAAAGAGTTCTGGTTCCTCCAGACGTCCTCCGATCATCGACGTGTTCAATCCTTTGGTCTGTCGGATCAGAGTTCAGCTTTCTGTCTCACATCAAATACCAAAGACTGAAATCAATAAATTATATTAATAGATTTGACCGATATGTCAGAAAATAAAAAATAAATCTGTGGGAAACATTTCGCCAGAAGAGAGGATTAAATGAACAAAAGTGAAGATGTGACAGAAAAAAAAAAAAAGCAGCATAATCAAAATGTCCCCTGTGGCTCCCCCTCCCCCCCTCCCCCCCTCACTGCCCGTTGGCGGAGGTGTCGTTGGGGTTATGGGCGGGGCTTGAGCCCCCGGCGTTGCCGTTGCCGGCGGGCGGCTGCACGTTGTCGGCCAGGTTGTGGGCGTGCTCCAGGAAGAGGTCTTTGAGCACGCTCAGCTCTTTGCTCAGAAGTTTGATTTTGGCCTCCAGCCGCTCGTTCTCCTCCTTGAGCTCGTTGACGCGCTGCTGCGTGTCCATCGCCTTCTGCTTGCTGCGCATGCGGCTCTTCTTCACCGCCAGGTTGTTGCGCTCGCGACGCTGCCGGTACTCGTCGCTGTCCTTCTCCGCCGAGGGTTTCTTCATCTCGCTGCTGGGGGGCGGGGCCTTAAGGACGCCCACGGCCGAGGGGAGGAGCTTGGGGACCCGCTGGAGGCCAGCTACAGATGTGGTGGTGGTGGTCTGACTCTGGATGACGCTCACGCCGTTGTTGTGCTCGGTTGTGGTGAGTTTCGCCTGCGACGGCCGGCTCATCTGGGATGTGTTGCCTTCAGGTGCTGATCTCTGAGTTCTCCTCAGGTGTGCGGGAGGAAAACAGGAAGCAGAAGATTCTTCAACTCGATGGAGCCTAGGGGACAACAAATCAATAAATGAGTTATCAGGATGCCGATTATTTCACATGTATGGAACAATATATTACAACTTCTATAACTTGTGATAAACAGTGGAAAGCATACCGTTATTCTCCACCACCAAATGTTCCCATATTGTCTACTATATGTTCCCTTATTCTCTACTATATGTTCCCTTATTCTCTACCAAACGTTCCCTTATTCTCCACCAAACGTTCCCTCATTATCCAGTAAACGTTCCTTTATTCTCCACTAAACGTTCCTTTATTCTCCACTAAATGTTCCCTCATTCTCCACTAAATGTTCCCTCATTCTCCACTAAATGTTCCCTCATTCTCCACTAAATGTTCCCTCATTCTCCACTAAATGTTCCCTCATTCTCCACTAAATGTTCCCTTATTCTCCACTAAATGTTCCCTTATTCTCCACTAAATGTTCCCTTATTCTCCACTAAATGTTCCCTTATTCTCTACTAAATGTTCCCATATTCAGTACTTCCCTCCATCTTTCTTCACAGTGAAGTAAAACCTCTGTATTTACATCTACATTCATCCTGCAGAAACTCAGCTGACCTGATTCCATCG